GGCTGTACTTATTTATAATTTATTAAAGTATTAAATTGCTAATTATAAACAGTTAACGAACAATTTAAGCAGACTGTGCTTGGACGAGTGATATATCAATCAAAAAAATGAGACGAATTTCTTGAATTAATATAACATGTAATATTAATTTATACAGAACTTTAAATAATTTCATACATAAAACTCATTATTCTTACTTACAAAATTATTAATTTTATCTAGTTTAATACAATAAGAGAAATTAGCTCAATAAGTTAAAAATAGCAGTGAAACACAAATAAGTTTGATATTCTTATATCAAGTTTTAATTGTGTTAATTTCTAACAAAATTTGCATGTTAACCTTAAAATGTAAATTTTAATTAGAGCTTTAAGCATTTAAACTCGAGCATGACTTACATGCTAATTACTGATTTAAATATGATCCTTGAGTAATTTTACTTTACTTAAAAATTTCAATTAATTTAATTGTTTTGTATAAACTGTAGATGTTTATTCCTTGAATTAAAGCAAATAAGTTATATATTCTAAATATATAGGAATTAAAATGAATATGAATTATAGCTAACATTTACACTGTAGATTGAATTATATGTAATGTTTATAAATATATTTAGAGTAATTCTACTTTGCTAAATATTTCACATCCAATAGCATTTAACACTGCCAACTACGAGGTTGGTATTGCCTAGGACGCCCAGTTATAGCAATTTGTTTACTTGCCATATTTGTTTACAGCTATGATGAAATTTGTAGTGTATCAGTCAAAATATGAATAGATAGCCTTAGAGAGGTTAAGAAAATCAATAAACTTTGTAATAAAATCATACATAGTTTATTCAAAATTAGCAAGCTTTATAAAACTGGTTTAAACCGGTATTCGAATCTTCACAACAACAAAATAGAGAGGAAGAAGTTTTACAAAGTATTTTTTTCTACTACATATATATAAAATTAAAAAGTAAATCAATATAAAAGTTGAGAAAACAAAACTTAAAAAAAATGTAGAACATTATATAAAAATGAATAACAATAATTGACTATTTATTACCTCCAGAACAATTTTAAAATACTTTGCTTAATTTTACATGTGAGAAGCACATGAGAAGCTATTATGGCCTTTTCTGATTTTATGTCAGAGACGACAAAATTGTTATGTTTTTAATGAAATAATTAATTAATTTTTATATAAAAAGTTATGGCACAAAAACCTGTTTATTTTGTTTGATAAACCCGGTTTTCCAATAACATACATTTCTTAAAAAAACCGGTATTTCCAAACCGTCTTATGAAAACCGAGAAACCCTACTATAGACTGATCGAAGCCTGACTTTACAAAGTAAGTCTCTATTTTTTTAATGATTATATACGACAATTAAAATGTTGATTTAAAATTATAATTGTTCTTTATTTACGTATCGATTGTAATGGTTGTTTTAATGATATGAACAAGTTTAAAAATAGCGATGAAATAAAACCTTGCATCTGATAGGAGTGCAAAGAAGTACGCTTACATTATTTAGTATTATGTTGGCCAGGTACATAAATCCTCGAAGACCCGAAGAAGCGAAATTTATGAATACAAGTAAACGTTTCCTCGGAGTGGCCGTTAAAGGCTGCTCGTTTCCGATCATATAAAATAGATGTAAATCATTGGGGAGGAAATGGAAGAATAACGCAGCCTCCGATCGCATAAATAAATCGCACCGAATGAATTCGCTTCATCTATATCAAATTTATGAAATCCCGCGAATCAGCCCGATAAAAAAGAGGGGGACCGCTTTTTGACACAAACCCCACATCCAAACGAACCCCTTCGCTAACTTCATCCCCCCAACCCCTGTGAATTATTCCCCGGCAATTTGCATTTTCCGCCCGTAGAAGACATTCCTTATTTAAAAGGCCGCACGTAACGTTGCCTCCGTCACCTCTCTTCCACCCCTTTCTGAGGCTGTCTATGTATGTATGTGCTTTTTTTGGGGACATTGCGGTATATGAAGAGGGTGTGTTTGTGCGGAGAGACATGCATCGTGTAAATTCGGCCTGCGGGGATTGCACATTGGCCTCGATGTTTTGTTGTCTCGCTACTGCACAAGTTTGCACCGTATGATGAATATGTAATGTTTAATGCGCACATATTTATTTTCGAACCTTTCCCCCCGGGAGTACTCAAGCTAATTGCGCAATGTTTGCAAACATTATTTTATTGTAATTAATGATCCTTCTGCAAATATGAACTTTTTCCATTACCGAAAAATTATCCCATATTTACTCGTTTCAATTGAATTCATCTATATTGAGTTTATATATGTCCGAGATACCTCGGTTAATGTTATCTCTGATAACGAAGCTACTTTATAATGAAGTCTGCGGTATAAATTATACCAGACGAAGAAAATAATATAAAAAAAGCTTTTGATAATGTCGAAAAGAAAATGTTAGAAACTTATTGAATGCAATAAACAAACAAAATGATTGCTTCTTAATTTTCTTTATTTTTAAGAGGTTTTTGCCAAAATATTGTTAACAATCAAGGATGAAGGTACTTATATAACATTGAAAACAAACAATTTCATTGGTTAGTGAAAATGTTCCTAATTTAGAATCCTAATGTTCCTAATTAATCGATCATTGTTACATGCTATAATTCCATATAAAAAGGAAAATAATCAACTCAAGACACATTTTAAAATGCGATTTCACTTTGTATGGAAGTAGACTGTTTATTTAATAAAATTATTCTTTGTTCGTAAAAAAACTATTAATTTTCTTTACAAATGGCGATACCATTTTTCCGTTGTAAATGAAAATTAGCTTAACAAAGAAATTAATAGCAAAATCACATCTACGTCGGATTACAAAATGCAGCGTTTACACACTATTATATTAATTACTGTATCTATATTCTGATAAAACTACGTAATTTTAAGATTTTTTTATTATTTTTAATTTTTAAATTAGTTTAAATGTTTCAGTATAAATCAGAACCAAATTAAGTTAGTTATATTTTAGTCACCACATTAGTTGGTAGTATTAGTTTTTTCTTATAATTTGTTTATAGTTATTATCAAAGTTTTGTATTTAAATCTCTAAATTTTTTAACATTGACTTTGATTGTTTTTATTCCAATATTCTTTGTAAAAATAATATTTCTTCCTTCACTAAAATGTAGGTTAACATTTATTCACAAGAGCTGAATGAGACACGTAGTTGAGTGTATGAGACATATATAAAACGCAGTATGAATGCACAATTATATTAATAATCAAACAGTTTAATTTGAGCTTAAGTTATTAATGTTAATTAGTAATTAATACTTGATTATTCAGAAATTATACTAATTATAATTATAATTTATTAAACAATTTATATATTTGAATTTTTATAAATATTAATACATACAGCAATACCTCATAGTGAGGTTTCAATCAGTGCGGATTCACTATAATTTGAAAATATCAAAACAAACTAAATTTTTATTATCAAAATAAAAATAAATTCTAAAAAATTGGTTTACAAAATTACTGTTTATACATAATGTATAGTCAAGTATCTTTTTGTTCTTAGGCCCTCGATTAGTACTATTTCAAATAGTCCATAATTGATTATCTGCACAGTGAGATGTATTGCTGTACATTGCATTTTTTTTTTAGTATTTATTCAAATGGATATTAAATATTTTCAATCTATGCTGGTATATTTAACTGCAGAGTATTTTTTATTAGTATAAAACTCATTTCGGTGATTTAATATTTTACTTTCTAGCATGATAACAAAATGATAATCCCAAATACAAATATATTTCAAATTTTAAATAGATTTTTACAAAAATATAATAATTTTCATACCGAGGTAGTATGAATATGCTTATGATACGTTCCTAGATGACAAGCCATAAACGAAACAGCGTTAAAGAAGCAACATTAAAATATAGTAAACAAATAATTAACAGATTATTATAATAATTAATTATTATAATACATAATAAATAATTCATAACATATAAAGACAACTATAAAAAGAAAGAAATAGTAGCACTAACTTTTATACAATAGTATTTTGAAAAATATCTAATAATTATCATTACATAAATGTTGATGTCTTACGTTGATTAAAACGTGATTTGTGGTATATACCAAGATAAACACATTGCATCGTTGTTGTGTATCAATGCACTGAGATTATTATGTCACAACCGACGGCTCCGAGTACATTAAGCTTGACAGATCAGCACACCATAAACACCATACATTCTCCATAAGCTTCGTTGATGTTTTACATAATGCGAATATAGCGCAACGAACTTAGTTACATATGTTGCATATACATTCACGTTCATTCTTTTTACACGCAGAATTTATTAAACGACTCTCTTGAATCGAGCCACAATCCATTATGTACTTTACTTAGGTAATGCGTCTTGTGCAACGGAGAAAGATAAAAATGGGGTGGAGGAGAAAGACGAATTGTAGAAAGGATTTTGGGTTTTCTCATAATGGAGTTCCTTTGAAGAAGTATGCAGGAGGACTATTGAGATGACGGCTTTTTTGTTGTTGTTGTTCATGTTCCTGTTGTGCTCCGAATCGACTAAGTCTCTTAGGATCTGGGTGTCCACAAAGAGAAAGTCAACAATACGAATTACATACACATAGTGTGTGTATATTAAATTTAAATCGAGCATTGTTCTGTGCAATGATAAACCATTATAAGCTTTAATTTACTTTGTGATAGGTATAATTAGGATAATAATCCTTATAAAAATATTATTTCAAAGAAATTATTTAGAAAATAAATTAAATTAATTTTATAATTTTTTACTGTCTGATTTGTTTAATTTAGTAAGGTGAAATATAAAATGTAAAAATCATTTAAAAAAATAAGGTCAAAGTTTCTAACGTCAATAAGAAGTAAATGTTATATCAAGCAACAAGTGACAATTTCGATTCAATTATAATAATTTATGGCACATATATATATAAAGAATACAAAAGTTGTTCTTACCCTTTGATCATTGACGTACCACGTGAGGTTGGGTGCTGGGGATGCGGGTGGTGCAAAGCACTCCGCAATTAGGGGTCCACCCCTTTCCAGTCCAGCTTTATCTACGTTTATAGTGGGAACTCCATCTGGAACAACTGAAGAAGAAACAAAAACTAATTGAAAATAATCTAAAATAAGTTGATCCATGTATTGCAAATTTATTTTCTTCGAGATATATTTACATGTTTAATTTACATTTACATCAGTAATTATGTACTAACAATAGTGAATAACATTACATTATTAATGTTTATTATTACATTATTAATTATCTATTAGCAACTTAGATATTATAGAATCTAGATGGTTTAAACCCAAAACAGCAGAAAACAAAAAACATATATACTAGAATACACAAAGTGGTACAATTACGCAATGGATTTAATTTGCATCGCGTTTATGTTATATGTACGGCATTAGTTTAGGACTTATGGTGCGCAAGTTGCAAATAGAAATTTATCCCGATCCCTTTATCTAATGATTGGGTTGAGAACAATGTAATTGCCAATTTGACTATACAAATGAAACATTTTTTATCTACATTTTTCTATTTTGATCAATGACCTTTTGCCATCTTTCAGTCAACTTCATTATATCACGCTCACAGAACTGCTGGTCTTTATCAGCAAAAAACTGAGCTAGTGTAATTTTACAACGTAATAATTATTGAAGGTTTTACAATTCAAGGAATTTTGTAAAGCTCTGTCTGAACAAATGGCAATGGCGCTAAGTCAGAGCTATACGGCGGATGTAACTTCACTTTCAATTAATAACAATTAATTTGTTGAAAATTTGTTGAGAAAAACTATAAAAACTATATAATTGTAACATTGATAGAAGTCATCAAAAATTGCTTTGTATCGATTAAAGAAATATCTACTAATAAAGTGATGATTTCAAGCCTCTAAAATCCGGCTTTTCTTGCTTATTTCTTCAGCTTCCATTTTAATTGAAACACTAATTTTACTTTAATTACATTTTAACAAGCTTTTAAACCAATAACATAAACTATATCGATGTATAATAAAATTGGATTTACATAGAACTTTTCATTCAATTATAAAAAATACAGAAATGTACAATGCATCTACAATTAATTTAATAACATAGAATGGCAATAATAACAAAATAAACTGCAACCTACAAAAACTATATTTGCATGTGTTAATCTTCCGGACTTTAGATAGACATTCATTAGTTACTTTGCTTACATAAACATAGGTTGTGTTAAAAAACATTAAATTATCAATTTGAAAATGTATCTGAAAGCTATATGGAATTGTAAAATGACGTTGAGTGATGTAACTAACATAGAGAAAATGTTGATGTCAATAGTCAACTTTTGTTATTATTATTCTAGAAAAATGTTTAATTTTGTTCTTTTGTTGCAATACAAATATATAAAATTAGTTATTATATATTTCATTATAAAAAATTGTAATTGTTTTTTTTAATTTAAAAATCGTTAATCATTTCTCGGTTTACCCATTATAAATTGAAAAAAGTGATATTAATAACAGAATTATATATTAATTAACGTTTTGTATGATTTTTTTTTTGTATTCAATAAATTTTACTGTATTTTTTATAATAGAATTTTTATATTATACAAAAGAAACCATCAATATGTTCGGTTATGGTTCTTTAATTATCATTATTACACGTAACTCCACAAGTTTCTACTTAATAGATATTGGAATTACACCACTGTAAAACGATTACGTTTGCAATAGCAGTTGCAGAATAACCTAATAACGTAATTTTTCTATTACGGTTTGGTTGTATGCCAAAGGAAACACCAAAAGGAACGTTTTAATTCCAATCACGTTCCCATAATTATTACAATAATTGCGCATTATAGTCTCCTCCGTCTGAGTTTATTGGCGTAGTTCGCAAACAGTTGGGGAGAGAAGGAAGAAAAATAAAATGATCGCTCGCTCGCGTTTCCCTTGAACCAAGAAGAAGGGTCTTCCCCTCTTCGGTTTTCTGTGGGGTTTGTGCGCTTTAGGTATGGGGAGAAAAGAGCCGCCCTTTCTTGCCACCCGTAATGCACTCACCGAGAGACGCCGACGACGCTAGTTTGGCATCTATACGGGCAATATAACTGTTCCCAAAGTCCCGTATAATAACCACCCGACTTGGTAAACATTCGCATTACATTTAACCCCATTGTCCTTAAAACGGCGCTAAATTATCTCGGTGCGGCCCCCCGGAATTAAACTCCATTCGAATAGAATTAAAGCCACTTTTCTTCTTTCTCCTTTTGTTTTTCGTGTACGGCGAAAGAACTTGGCAATAATTCAGGCTGCGTTCTGCGAAAGGCGGCGGAAGGAAGATGGGAGTCGTAGGGTGCTATGAAATGACGGGAGGATTTGGGTGGGCGGAGGTGTGGCAACCCGGAAGAAAAAATAATAATAAAACGAGGGACCTGCAGAATTCCAATTCGAAACAGCAGCAGACGGCGAAGGCCAACAACATATAATTTACTTTATTAAATTCGCACAACCCCCCTCAGTTTATCAGCAACATAACGGAATTATCAACAATTTTTCTATTTTAAAACTTTCATTGCTACGATCCATTTCCCAGGAGAAAAAGATACTCGTATTTTGTAAACTTCATAACTTTAACATAATATAAAATTGGATAAGTGACAAACTTAATTAAACAATTTGAAAATTTTCTGGTATAATGGATTCATTTGATGATATAAAACATTCTTACAAATGGAATTCTTCTTAATATACTTAATTTCTTAGTAATCCTTATTATTGTGCAATCTATATGGATATTTTCTCTCAATTATCAAATCGTGGTAGATAGAAACTTTTTTGAAAGAAAACCGTGTTATTCTTCATTTTTTAATTCTAAAATAGTGTTAGAACGGCGATTTATCCAATTCATAAACTATTTTAGAGGGTAATCGTATTATAAGAATGTCATGAACAATACCTCGCATAGTGTGGTCAAGATCAGTCCGGATTTATCATAATTAGATTTAAAATTTTCAAAAAAACTGAATGATCGTTTTTTTTCCTATGACAGTCATATATTTTAGTTCCTCGCTTAGTCCGGTTTCGAATAATATGGAATATTGGAAGATCTAATTGCCCACACTATGCGAGGTATTGCTGTAATTCAGAACGTTCTTATTTGATAGCTTTGGTCTATTTGCTACGAGAAAAAAATCTGCGTATTCACAACGACTTTACTACAAAAATACAATCAAACTTAATTAAACACTTTGTATTCTAATGTAAACTGCGAATTGAATCGATGAATGCGTAATCAGTATGTATAATTTTTACACATAGCTTTTCCATTAAACCTGATACATAAATTTCCACGGCTGATAAAAGTGTCAACACTAACCCTTCTTTATTGCAATTTATTGAACCACTTTTTTTATACTTCCCGGACCCTAAAACTGTTATGTTTATGGCCCCTAATACACGACACGAATTCCCCAAATCGTATTGTAAATCATCATTTTAACAACAATTACACGAAATGAAATGTATTTGAAATTTTAGTTTATATTCTATACATTTAAATACAATGGTAATATTTCAATGAATTTGTAAAAAGTTATACATATAGTTTTATTGTATTTATTTAACTATGTTTAGTATATCACATTGAAGTGTATCCAATTATATCATTATTGTTCATCAGATCTATATCAAAAAGACAGAATTATCAAATCTGATGTAAATATAAGTAACTGAAATAAAATCTCGCATAGTGCGTGTACAGATTCCCCCAATATCTTGGACTATTCGATACCGTACTAATCGCGGAACTAAATACATTAATACCCATAGCGCGGGTACTCGGTTCCACGGATATCCTCGAACTAATCGAGATACTAGATATATGTAAAAAATAATAATAAAGGAAGAAAATCGATTATTTATATAAACAAAATAATTGCAATTTATTTATCTAAATTAAAATTTAATTTATTTTGAAATTTTCAAACCGGATTATGCGAACAAACCTTTATATAATTAAATAGAAACCTTTTTTTTATTCAATCCTGAAAGAGATTTAAATAACGGTATTAATGATTAACCAGGCTTTTTTCTATATGGAGATGATGACCCATTACTTTCAGAATAACCCTCTTCTTTTTTTTCTTTATCCCGCTCATTGCTTTCCTTTCATTTCATTAGCAGAAACCAGTCTGTACAATTTATATAAGTGATGTATCCAATTGGATCTTCTCCTAATTTATAGATCATTTAGAGGCTGCAGCACTGTTATCTTCTCTCTGTTCTTTATAGTTAATCCACAAGATTGCCAAGGACATTTTTAATATTCTATTAAAGTAATTATATTTTGAAAATATAGATTTGTGAGTGATTTTATGATAAAATTAATTAAATGAGAATAGCAAGATAATAAACTTAACTATTAATAAAACAGTTTAATTATGTCTATAAAATATTTATGGTATGATTATCGAAATATTTTCTTCATAATTATAGAATTACATGACATATTGCTTGTATATATTTGATGACTTCCAAAGTTTTGCCTGAAATACCAACACAAGCATCATATACTCACGATATGTCAAGGATAAACTAAATCAAGCAATTAATATTCTTTCAATCAAACTTCAAACTTTATATTGATTTTATTGTAATTTGTTCTTCGTGCATTTATTCTTCAATTATTAATAATCAATTAAAAACTATTCAAATACAGTCAATTCTGCTTAATTGGAACACCTATTAATCGGGACAACCGTTTATTATTAACAAAGCTTAAAGAACTGAAACAAAACTAAGGAATAACACAAATTTACTCTGCTTTTTCGGGACAATATTCAGCAGCGCAACCACAGAATTTATTTTACAATATGTATGCATACGTATAGTTTTGTGACTTGTTTTAAAATAGTAATAAACACTAACCCTGTAATGTTTGTGTTACTTGGGATAATTGGGAAAAAATGTACATGTCCCGATGTGTCCCAATTAAGTGGAATTTATTGTAATTATAAATATCAATTTTTGATAGTAAATAATTATTAATTATTATTTTTCATAGATAAATAAAACAATTTACGTAAAACTATACAAGTTGT